TAAAGTCCTTTTGTCATGTGTTTACAACCCTCATAAATGTGTCAGTGTGAACGAATTTTTTACTATGTTGTCCACTGTCGCCACCGATTATGATAATTTTATTGTCTGCGGGGATTTTAATGTAAACCTTTTATGTAGTGACTTGTCTAGATCCCGTTTGCTAGATGATGTCTCCAGTGTTGGTCTATCCTTGGTTAACTTGTCCGTTCCCACTAGATATGGTAATAACTGTTGTCCTAGTCTACTGGATTATTTCCTCGTGTCTGATTTGTCTATTGTCCTGAAATTTGACAGGTTTCAATTGTCTCTGACCACGACTTAATTTTCTGTGCTTTCAACTTAAATTTTGACCACCACAGTGCAGCGCTCGGTCCATCCATTTTCCTGACTATCGTAAATGAGAAATTGCGTTTTTTAAATGACATCATTATAAATTTGTTTAGAACACATGTGCCAATTCGCAGCATTCAAAACCGATCTACCTCATGTCCTTGGTTCACCAAAAAAGTTCGCGCTATGATTGTCAGACGCAACAAACAATACTCTGTATGGAAGAAGAACCGGAATGACTTAAATTGGTGTGCTTATAAACTTGTGAGGAATGAGACAACTGCCTTAATAAAACGCGAAAAGCGTATGTATTATAGTAAAATGTTGAATCCTGTGCTTCCGAACCATGTTCTGTGGCGTAATTTAAAAAATTTGCGTGTACATGTCAGTGACAGTCCTGACTGCTTACTCAGCCCTGAAGACCTCAACGAGGCATTTGTAGGTCGTACCACCACTTCCTCTTGTGATAGTATTCCCACTGCATCCTATCCTCTGCCTCCTACATTTGCTGGCCAAAAAGTCTTTGGATTTAATACTGTATCAGAAGTTGCTGTAGCAATATGTATAAACAGGATACGCTCAAACGCAATTGGGGAAGATGGCATACCTATTAAGTTTGTTAAAATAATTGCACCACATATATTGCCTACTCTGACTCATGTCATCAACCATAGCATCACTACCTCGTGTTTCCCTGATATGTGGAAAGTTGCAAATGTACAACCAATTGCTAAAATTAAGTCTGCGTGTAGTCCCTGTGATTTTCGTCCCATAAGTATTTTACCTGCACTGTCTAAAGTCTTTGAGTCATTGATATCCAACCAAATTCAAGCGCACATTAGTGAATTTAATTTGCTATCTCCGTTTCAGTCTGGTTTTAGAGCAAGGCATAGCTGCTCTACGGCTATCCTAAAAATTTCAGATGATATAAGAATACCTTTTGACAAGACGAGTTAACCCTGTTATGCCTTCTTGACTTTTATAAAGCTTTTGACTCTGTGAACCATAAATAACCTTCTGCGCATGAAATTGAAAAATTATTTTGGGTTTGGGAATTCTGCAGTGCTACTCATGCAGAGTTATCTGGTTGGCAGAGCTCAGCGTGTTAGAATCGGCTCTCAGTCATCTACGCTAAAACCACTACTTGCTGGCGTCCCACAAGGTTCAATATTGGGACCGTTATTGTTTAGTTTATTCATAAATTACATTTTTTATATTTGCCAGCATGTGGACATGCATGCATATGCTGATGATGTACACCTCTATCTTTCAGCAAATTTCGAGAATGTAGATGAACTTTGTTTTAAGTTTAACAATGACTTAGCATCCAGCTCTTCCTGGGCATTGAGAAATGACCTCCGCCTTAATAGTGAAAAATCATATGTGCTACCTATTTCTAAGAAGCACAACAACTCAGATGTTCCGCAACTATTTATTGCCGGTAGTTGTCTCAAATTTGTGTCAAATCTTGGCTTTATTATTAACTCTAGCCTGCATGTGACGACCACGTAAACTCTGTTGTCAGCAAAGTGTACAGCATTTTAAGAAATTTGAGAATGAGTGCCGCCTACACTCCGGTTGACGTTAGGAAAAAACTTGCGTTACAGTTAATGTTACCGATCATATGCTAACCCGTACTTGTCTACAGCAAATTGAATTCTCAATCTGCCGATAAAATTGATGTTATGTTTAACCACATAACACGCTACGTATTTGGATTAGCGAAATATGACCATATCTCTGGGTGGAGGTCGCGTTTGTTGGGTTGTGAAATCTCCGAGAATTGGAAAGCCAGGAATTGTATATTTCTATGTCGACTTTTGCTAGATAATGCTCCTAGCTATCTCTACAATAAATTAATTTTCCCTAAATCAGCTCGAATAAACGCGATACGTACTTTCGCTGAACCAAATATTTATTTATTTTCTGTGAGTCTGGGTTTCGCTATCTAAATGTTTAACTTTCTCTTGTCATCTGTGTTGATCTTTGCTACATATGTATAATGTGATATATATTTTATTTTATTTTTGTTTTAAGTAATCTGTAGGTATTTTATTTTACTGGTATTTTTAATCTCTGTTTTGTACTATAACAGATCTATGATCTTATTGTACTAATGCTTTTTCTCTTAATAAATGAAATGAAATGAAATGAAATAAGGGAAAAGGTGAAAGGGAATATGTAGATGTAGCAAATGATAAAGATAAATATTAAGAAAAAGATCAGGATGAGTAAAGATGAAGATAAAGGAAGAAAGATTAAAATAAAGGTAGTTATAAAGAAAATGATATAGAGTCACAGATTTGATATGTTTCTACGCACTTCTATGATATCCTGCGTACACGTTCGTGGGTAACCGCGCTCTAACACTTATTTTTTCTCTTCCAGCGATAAGTGTCCGTGTCCAACAGCAACGGAAAGAGATATTCAAATAATCCTTTTCCACTGAGAGGAGCACACATTTACAAAAAATAAACCACCTGTTCTGTTTTGTAGGTTATTTTTTCTCTTAAATAATGATTATTATTTTGGGACACTTTCAAAGTGGAGAGGGATATTGTCGAAATCTGTTTTTTTTTTTATTTCACATATTTTCAATTTTTTCTGGTATATTTTTGACCTATTCATCGGTAAGATTATTAGTAAAAAAAGTAATAGTACCGGTTCGCCAGGTCTTGAAACTAGACGCATGTTTTAGAGAATTGTATGTAGTTTTCGAATGTATGTATAATTGGATCATTTCGCGGAGCTTTGCAAATATATGTAATTTTCGATTTTCAGCTTGTTTTTGCAAAATTTCGCGAAAAGAAATTTTCGAACAATGAAAAAATCACAGCAAACATTGGGGAAAAAAGGGAATATTTACAATTATATAATTTTAAAGTGTGACCTTTGCTTTTCTGAGATTGGAAAGCAGAAAACAAAAATTAACCATAATTCCATCACATTTAATGACTGGGCCCACATTTTTTGCGAGTTGTAGACGCTATAGTTCTCCAATCTTCCCCATATTTTACATTTACGGTTTTATAATAAAAGAGAGAGTACAAACTAAATTTTATCGGAATTGGATAAATTTTAATATTTCCGTCCACAAGAGTGGAGGGCGTGGCAATTATCCTATCTTTACCAAACTACATAATTTCTCATTCCTAAGTAAAGTTAGAGCACATGTCAAGTTTCAGCGAAACCGGCGCAGGTTAATTATTATTTCCATCTGACTCCATATAGGCGAAACACTGTGCGTCAGATAGAAAAAATAAAAACGCCACTTTAAATAAAAGAGTAGGTTTCAAACCCATTCATTTAATATTTATTTTATGGTAGGAGAGCTTCTCAAACAATATAGAAGCAATTTTTTCGATTTAAGTTGTTAAAAAGTAATGAATATCTAAATCCGCAGGCCAAATCCCGCGATCCCGGGATTTTGATAATGACATCCTGAAAATCTGGGATCGGAAAAAGCTGAAAAATTAACATCCCTAATTACAATATCAAAATAGCCTCCTTATCAAACGCATTTGCAAAGCTTTGTGTTTTATCAAACCAGTTTTGAGCCTATCATATCACTTAATCGTGTGTGATTTCGCATACGTGTGTAATAAATGCACTAAAGAATGTTAAACGCTGTTTTCTAATAGATTTTTGGCAAAAAAAAATTAATAAAGGTTTTTATAAAGCTTTACTCAAAAGTCTTATGTGAAAGAAAATTTTAAGTTATATAAAACTAGGTCTACACTTTAAAAAGTGCATGTAAAACTACATACTGCTGAAAAGTGTTTATTTTTTAACCAGAATATGTATAAATATACACATAAGATGTTTAAAATATACACATAAATATAGACATTAAATGTTTAAAATTGCAGATATTTTGAACGTAAAAATACATTTTCTACTGATGGTAAACATTAAATTTGGTATGTAAAAGTAAATAGACAGATAGTTAATTTTATTAACACGGCGTGTAAAATTGCACACATTAGGAGAGGAAACTGGTTACGGCTCTGAATATGCGTAAATTTAAACAAACAATTTCACGTATAATATCGAAAATACATCCAATAGCTGCGCTAGTAGGCTTTATATGCGTAAATTTAAACAAACAGTTTGTAGAGCAAATTTTAAACATTTTATGTGTAACTGTGAAATTTCTAAAAATAAGTGGTTAGAATTCAAGAAACAAATTTAAAGTCACGCCCGCTCTTAATATGCGTAAAAAAAAAATTAGAGTGTGCACTGTGTTAGTAGGCTTAAAATGTTTGCAAAAGAGTTCTCCGTAGCATAGGGTCCGAACCCTTTTTCTGATTTTAAGGCGGTCTAATCTGAAACTCTGTAAAAAATAACGACTTTTTTTAATTTTCTGCATATTTTTTTCTATAGTGACCAAACCACTTGTTTGATTTATGAGTATGAAGGCAAACAACTTTTGTTGGAGTCTCCTTTACAAACTCTCTCAGATGTAAAAGCGATATCATGACAACTACAACTTTTCGATGGTTTCTCTCAACAAATGATTTGGTAAATATGCATAACCAAATAATGTAACAATAACCAAATCACGTGTTGAGAAAAGCAGATTTAGTTGACGTAACTAAACTATATGAAGTATTTTCAACAATAAACCTAATACAAGAAATGTCTAATCTTATATTTATACACAGACTTACCTGTTGCGAATGAATAAGAAGTTCTTTTCGTCGATAAGAATCTTGGGGTTCTGTTTGATGTCTTATAACATACTCGGCAAGCTGACGTGCTGGAAACTCAGTTTCGCAGACGAAATGGAAATCTTTTGCCAGGTGAGTAGCTTCTCCTTCCACTAAAGATGTGAGCAATGTAACATTAGCAGCCTTTCGTCTTCCAGCAGGTAAGTTCAAGCCAATTTTTTCAAGTTTTTCCCTTAGAAGTCGCCCGCCATTCTTACTCTTGGCTCTGTGGTGAGGTAAAAAAGAAAAATGCATACGCGTATTGGAAATAATGGATAACATTGCTAACCTTCGAAGGACTCCGCCTAGTAAAGAAGCGTTTAAACATTCGGGCGGAGATAACCTCCTTTGCACCTCGGCAATTGTAACTTTGTATTTGGACGTGCTGGAAAGAAGGCTAAGTCGTCCTGGAACAGCGCAGAATACCTCACTGGGCGAACCGGATCCAATACTGCCAATTTCTTTCCCACTTTTAATACCTGAATTAAAATAAAAAATAAGGGTTAAATTGCAGGCATAAGACTAAGGTGTTTCATTATTCGCCAAAGAGTTAAAGAGGATAAAACTGAAGAATGAGATAAGTTATGATATGTTATGTTATTTTATGTTATGTGTTGCTTTGTTATGTTATCTTATGCCATTTTATGTTATGTTATGTTATGATTTTTTATTTTGTGTTAGTTATGTTGGGCTATTTTATGTTATGCTATGTTATGTTACGCTATGTTATGTTATGCTAAGTGCTAAGCACAACTCTTTTCCATTGAAGTCATCTCAACGCAACTGAACTGAACTAAACTCAACTCAACTCAACTGAACTCAACTCAGCTCACCTCACGTCAACTCTGCTTAATTTTAGCGGTTGAATTTCAACCGATGGGCGAACACTGTTGTGTTACGCACACAATTAATCACTGCTTTACTACCTCACCTTACCCTGCCGCATGGAAAGTAGCCACTGTTACACCTATAGCTAAAAAACCGGGTGCCTCTTCCCCGTGTCATTTTAGGCCTATAAGCATTTTACCGGGACGATCCAAAGTATTCGAAAGGCTTATAGCTCAACAGGTTATGGATTTTATTTAGACCAATAAGCTGCTGAGTCAACTTTAATCTGGTTTCAGGCCCCATCATAGTTATTCAACGGCAATTGTAAAAGTGTTGGATGATATTCGTCAACCTTTCGATGAAAGTCACCTTTCTTGCTCTGCCTACTCGATTTTTCCAAAGCCTTTGATTCAATTAATCACAAATTGTTGTGTAATAAATTAGCTATCTATTTTGGTTTTAACGCAGTTAGGCTGCTTAAAGATTACTTAAGTAGTAGTTTCCAAAAAGTTAAGTCTGGTAATAAGCTCTCTGAACTCGCCCCCATCTCTTCAGCCGTGCCACAAGGCTCCATTCTTGGCCCTCTACTATTTAGTATATTTATCAACGTATATTAACTTTCAACTGTATTTATCCAACAGAATAGGGTTGGTCGAAGACTTAATGAGGATTTGCACTCGATCTTTGAGTGGTCGAAGAAAAACCTGCTTCATCTTAATGCGCGGAAGTCATATGTGCGTATATTTAAAGAAAAAAATTGAGCTTTCCGTGAAAATTGGTTCAGAGTTTAACAGTTCCCCTTATTACGTATTCTGAGGTAGTTTATAGAAAGCTAGATTCTCCCTCTAGTCACAAGTTGGACGTCGCTTTAATTTTGCCACGAGACACGTATAAGGTCTGAAGATGTTTGACCATCTTTCTTTGTTGAGAAACTCGATACTTGACTGCGACATACAATATTTCTGAAATGCCAGGAACTGCATCTTTATTTTTCAGCTAATTGCTCATGCGAAACCGGAATACCTATATGAAAAACTCATATTTTCTAAATGCTCTCGCTCTTTAACTCTAATCTTGTCCAGGTTCAATTACTTATGCTCGTCCCGACTGTTTTTCGGACTTTGGAACTCTTTCCTCAGACGCTAAGGAAGTCATGACCTAGTGCAGTGATGAGCAGAGAGAGCTTTTACTTTGCACGCGCCTATACAAAATGTATAGGAAGCTCAAAGGAGCTTTGCCCGCGGGAAAGACAGTGCCCATCAGCAGTGTTGCCAGAACTTTTTGGACGAACCGGCTAAATTTGCAAATAAAACCGGCTAAAAACGGCTAAAATGTTTCAACTAAATTTCACATGTCTTATTTAAGTAAATCAAAAGTAAAAAGACTATTTCTTGGAGAGAAGTTACAAATTCGAGCCGGAAAAAGTTTTGCCAGCACGAATTTGCAATTAGGAAAAGCATATGATTATGGCACATGGTTGGATTTTTTGTCGACGATAATTTGAATAAACAAGTTCGTTAAATTTAAAAATTTACAAACTGGAGCGATTTTAAAATGAAAAATGTAAGTTAATACTTGTTTACTTAATTAATTTAGTTAATTCCAATGATTTGAAAGGTACTCGGCAAAAAAAAAACTGTATTCTTAATCGGAATGCAATCTCAACCAGAGTCGATATAGAAAACCCGACAAAGAAATTGAAACGTATGTTGAAGAAAGTCGGAATGACAAGATATATACACGTAGATCCTGTTTTTTGCCCCTCTGAGGAATTTTAAAATTCTATACAAATTTCTTTTGTTTGAAATTCAACCGTGGACACTAGCTGGTAGAAAAACTTGCAAATGTGCGAATTTGCAAATTTGCATCTTGAGTGTGTTAACAGTGAAATAATTTCTTATTTTCTAAGTTTGCGAATAAAACTTCACACTTAAAATTAAGACATTTATAACAAATATTTTATGAAGAAAATCCCTTCTTCGTTTAAAATAAAAATAAGTGAAATCAGCCCAGTTTCATACAACCCTGCCTGACATGAAAATTTTCTCCACGATAAGGCTAGTAGTCTAACAGATTTTGGGACGCTTAGTCAAAAATGGAAACATATATACATATTTGAAATTTAAGAAAATAAGGCAAATAGCAAAATCGGCTAAAAACTCGGCTAAATTTTTTCTGCAAAACGGCTGCCGGCTAAATCGAAATTTCTCCGGCTGTTTGCTATCGCAACCGGCTAAATCTAGCCGGAAAACGGCTAAAATGGCAACACTGCCCATCAGTGGTCTAGAGGCAACTTCAAGAAACTTATACTTCAGTATTTCCCTAATTAAAATTTCTAGAAAACGTGGTTATCGACTCTCGCAAACTAAATTATGGTTATCTATGTTTATTTTTTCTAATTTTTTAATATTTTAAATTATTAAATATTTTATCTGTGAATTTTTAATTGTTAATGTATTTAATTGCTTATATATATATGGGGCCGTCCCATACCAAAACGGACGGGGTTCACACTTCATGTGTTTGATTTGTTTAAAAATTTAGGGGTTGATGCATAAACATAAATAATAAATAAATATGAAATTTGAGCTTGATTAATAAATTTTTAAAAACTTTACAGCACAAAAACAAAACCAAATCGATTTAGTAGTTTTCCAAATATCTCGAGAACGGCGCGAGGAAAAAATTTAAAAAAAAATCACACATACCCACATCGAAATTCTCTATGAAAAGAAATATTTTAAAAACTTTTTTTCTTGAAAAATTTTTCACACAAATTGTTTGATAAGAAAATTAGTTTTTGAAAATATGCCATCTCAAAAAAAAATTTAAAAAAATCACAATGCAATATTGAAGTATAGTATTATGGGGTGCACTCTACAATAATTTGAGTTATGCATTTTTTTTACACCGAAGTTGAGTAAAATTAGTGCATTACAAATTTACAAGTGTTTTAGATTATTATTTTTAAACTAGCTGTACCCTGCCACGCTTTGCTGTGGCTTATTCCTGTTACATGGATGATAAATTATTAACGAAACAAATCATACGTTTCATATGAGTTTGATTTTGTAATAAGTACTTGTGTGCACACAATATTTGTCGTTTTTCAATTCTCTGCGTAGATATCAATGACATCTGGTTTGCCGACACGGAAACACGCAACATCTGAGAACCAGCCCGCATCTAAATCTAAACCATACTTTTCCAAAGGTTGACCCTGAGCATTATTGATTGTGATTCCGAATCCCAATCGAATTGGAAATTGCAATAATTTAAATCGAAGTCGTGTATCGGTCGGATTAATATTCCGCAACGTGATAATTGCCACACCTATTTCCAATTTCCGGATGCCTTCTCTTTTCATCCAATCAAAAAACGCACTAGGGCAAAAGAGAAGGCACGCCCCTGTTGCGCACATTCGCTACAATTATAACGAGTTGTCCCTTTTTGTTATCTACGTTCTTTGATGTTAGGTAATCCCTGAAAGATCAATCGAGTTCAAAAATTCCGTTGGATAATTAACTGCTTCATTTATTTCCACAACGGTGTTTATCTACATATATATACACATATTATTTCATCACTTTGAATGCTGGATTGATAAACATTATTCTTCGCGGCAAGAATAGCTCGTTCACTGAACCAATCGTGATTCCTATAATTAATTTGAATATCCGGAAAAATTCTTTCGTTCAGTTCTCTTTTCGATGTTTCTAAGTTACAAAAATTATGAGGCAATAAAATTGGTCCTAATCTCTCATTGACTGGCAGCTTTCCGTTCCCTATGTTCGGTAGTTGTCGCGTTAATACCTGGGCTGATTAATCGCTCTGTAGTTGGACACGCATATTCGTAGTGAACTGCAATGTATGTATGTTCGTCTTGCCACAATGTTGAATATTTCAGGCAAGCATTTATCTCTTCCGCTGGTGTCAGTCGAGAAATTACAGGCAATATTTACGTAAAATCTCCTGCGAGCAATACCAATGCATTCCCGAATGGTTGAACATTTCTACGCAAATCTGCCACCGATCGATCAAGAACCTCAAGCAATTTTTTAAGTGCCATCGTGCACTCGTACCAAACAATGAGTTTACATTTTTGTAATAAGTACTTTTCCCATATCGGATGTTTTCGAAATATTTCACGTTGGAGTTTCGATGATTTGTACGTTCAATGTCAGCATAAGAGCTAAATGCGAAGTGTTTCCACCTCGTAACAATATCGCAGATGTTCCAGATGAAGCGAGAGATACGGCTATGTAGTTTTTCATCGAACCGTTGCCACAATCTTGTAAGGAGTGTTCTCCTAGTTCCTCCTGGCTCATCCAAGAAGAAGGTTATTTATCATTTGCATCTTCTTATTTGGCGCTATAACCGAATAACCGATTTTAGCCGAGTTCGAAAAAGCACGCCAGTCGCTTCTCTCTGTGCCAACTTACGCCAATTGGAAATGCCACGTGAAGCCAAGTCCTTCTCCACTTGATCTTTCCATTGCAGTGGGAACCTCCCTCTTCCTCTGCTACCACCAGCGGATTGCGAGTCGAATACTTTTAGTCCTGGAACGCTGTTCTCATTCGAACGACATGTCAAAGCCAACGGAGCCGCTGTAAAGATTATACAGCTCATCGTTCCATCGTCTGCGTGGGCA